TGCATTGTTTAATTTCGTTAGTTGTTCAATGTAGACATCAGAATTGATCAGTTCGGTTGAGTGGTAAGAGATTCAAAGTAGACAATTCCTTTGTAATCCCAACAAACTGATAACAAAACCTTCTTTTGATGTTGAATATCAGCTTGGTTCACCTGGCCTGCTCCACGATCTTTTCCGCTTGATATTGTTGTAAACAACCCATTTTTCATCGCCAGTTATCAGTCGTTTTAAAAATGGATCATTTTCATTACGTTTCTTTAGTTCTTTCTTTAGGGATCATTTTCATTACGCAAATGGCAGCTGTTAATGCGCTTGCGTTAAATGCGTTTCTTTTCAGTTCGTGAGGAACCCATGTATCGAGTTTTTGAACATAGCCAAGTTGTTTTAAGTGATTTTCAATGCATGTATGTGATACATGAAGCTTCTCTGCAATCTCACGCGTTGTACTGTGACCAAATCCAAATCGATTATTGCTTTGATTAGGTCGTCATCAACTTCAACTGGACGACCAGAGCGTTTTTTATCTTTGAGTGGAAAATCCCCAGAACAAAATTTGGCAAACCAATTTTGACACTGCTGTTCTTTTAAGGCTTCGTCACCATAAACAGCACATAACTTTTTATGAGCTTGCGATGCGTTTTTCCCTTTGCGGAAATAAAAAAGCAAAATATGACGAAAATGTTCCTTTTGATTTTCCATTTTTCAACGAACGCCAAACGAAAACTACGCAACTGATCAAAAAACGTTTTTTACTGATAGACAGCTGAATTGCCAACTATCAAATAACAAAATGCGTTTTACATTTGTACTACGTCTGCAACCCTAAAAATTCAACTATGAGTGAAATCCGCAATTACTTAGTTGCCAACCCAATATTTTCATTTCCTTTTATAGCACGGTTCATTAAGCAAGGTACGAATTGAGGTTTCAAAACTTTAAACCATATAAACTGGCAATAGCCTTTATCGGAATTTTCATCTATCTGAGGTAGGTGTGGTTATTTAATTATGGCAAAGCACACTAGGGCTATCTGCCTAAGGGGAGGGATGCCTTTCGTGGAGGACTTTCTAAGGGAAACTGGCTCGTAAGCACGTTACACATGGGGAAAACTACGAAAACACCCATGCAGCCAGCCCGTTCGCGGGATTCGAACCTCGGACCGAACTACCAGTGTTCAGCGACTTTACAGCTCGGCCGCCTGGTGGACTCCTATCTGAGGTAGGAGAGATCTGTGTTGGTGTGGTTATTCAGAAGTCTTCTGGATAAGCTAAAAATGCACCAGTAAGTTATTAAAACAACATTTTTCAGTTGAGATTCTAAAACAGGCTTTAATCAATAGTGATTTACTTTCTAACGAATAAAAAAAGTAAAAGATCTTGATTAATAAATTTTCTTATTTATAATTTAAAATTCGATTTTTGTTAACTATAAGAATTGTTATATTGTTCCAGTCATCTATTAAGTCTTGAAGAATTTAAAAAGGATGTTGGTCTTGTATGATATAAAAATTGTACGGAGACGAAGGGATCTGAGTGAGTTTTAAGCCTATACTTTTAAACGAGATAAATATATAAAACACTGAATATAAAACTACTTTTTCGTTCTTCCTAGATAGTCCAGATACATTTCCGAGATTATCTCTGTGTTGTTCACTTTTCAAATTTGAGGATGGCCTTGTTTTTATCTTTTATGTTCAGTTTTTATCGGCTTTCGATTTTCTTCATGGACTTGTGCAGAAATGTCATTCATATTTACATTTTGATTTTCTTGATTTTTATTTATTTTTAATTCTCTTTTTGACTTACTGCAGAAGATAAAATACTACCGGCAATCGGAATTCTAATGTGTTGACAAAACATTCTACGTACAAATAACAGAATATGCTTTGTAGTCATTCAGAAGATTAAAATCAGAAACACTGCCTATTTGCAACTAAAACTTGAAATATCAGCTATTTTTATACCGTAAAAGTATAAGAGGAATATATATCTGCAATAATAATATATATCTAGAATATATAGAGAATACAGATCTATAAGAATATATATCTAGAATTTCAACATTCATTCACGTAAAAACAAGATTTACTTTATCAGATATTCCACATAGGTACTAAAACGCCACTCCGGAAAACATATTTTTAAGCTATTTTTACTTCCTTGTACGAAGTAAAAAAGGAAGTATTGTAATCGCGAAAAGTTTCAGGCAACATATTTCAACAAAAATATCCATTTTGACCGCTATCGAATGCAATTTAACGATGTTTTTGCGCGATATCTGTGCGTAAGGACAGAATAAAAGACACCTCTCCTCCAAAAAAATTATAAAACTGCTTTAAGATTAATTCTGAAGAGAATTTTTCCTCGCATAACTCAAAACGAGTAGCCTCACAACGTTGAAATTTTGTATATAGGACTGCTATAACAAGTAGATGTGCACCTCGTATTTTGGTTGCAATCGGCCGCACCAAACGTATATAAATATATTTATATATACATCCACTCTGTTACCCGGCTCAGTAATCTCAGTATCTTTACTCTTATATGTTTGTAAATTGTACATATTTTGCTTTAAAAATGATTGAATTATGTTGTTCTTATCTTCCGGTTAAGGGTTTTATGCCTTTCGTAATTCTGGAAGCAATATTTGTACAATTATCTACAATTTAAAAGCTGTTTAAGTACGGTTAAGTTTTAAATAACACGGCGGACATATTTGTTTACATCTGAAACAGCAGAATTGTAAATTTGTTGCCAATCTAGGGAGACTAAGCTTCGCAACACAAAAATAACGCCTTCATTTATTATTGCCAATTAAATCATGCTTAATCCTTTCTGGAATTTTTTCTAGGAAATAAGTGTTTAAGATTTACTTCGTAATTTTTAATACAGATATTTTGAGTTTTTATGTATTTTTGCCTTGTCGCGAAGTGAGAGCTGAATTAAATGAATGAGAAATACTAAATCGTCTGTGAAAAACTTTTTCTTTTCTGTTTTGTTTGCTTAATTTCTTTCATACATCGTTTTAGCTTTATTATAGTATTTGAATAGAACATGTGGCAACGATAATTCTTCAAATGATATAAATTTTGCACATTCAGAGTGTCGTTATAGTAAACAAATATAGTGAATTTTAAAGCGTGCATTTATTCTATTGTGGTTTATGCGCTGTCGACGAAGTAGATTTGATTCAATCAAATCAATTTAAATGAAATTCAAGAAAAAATGCGTATATTTTAATATTCCGTACAAGGAAGTCGTGTGGTGTACACATCAGATTTTTTTAAATTTTATTCTGAGCCCAAAGGGCCCTAGCCCACAAGGGCTATTAATTTCGTTTTGGCATTTTGCATCGAAAACTTTAAAAAACTGAATCACTTTTCAAATTTTTGCCACCAAACATTACAGCCCTGTATTATATTTAAAGAAATTAAATAATGAAGAAGCCACATAAATGCATGTATGTTTCTCGCATTGTGATAAAACAACAGTATCTAGAGCCATCCAGTTTTGAATAACGTACGTCTGTACCCCATTATGGACATCTGAAGGCCCGAATTTGTTTTATTATTGTTTTCCTATTTCGTAAAGCGTTTATGAATTTTTGATTAAGAAACTCAAAGATTTCAAAAGGAGCAATGGCAACACGAAACAAAATCTGATGTGCACACCACATGACTTCCTTGTATGGAATATTAAATTATACGCATTTTTTCTTGAATTTCATTTAAACTTATTGGATTGAATTAAATCTACTTCGCCGACAGCGCATAAACCACAATAGAATTAGTGCATTCTTTAGAATTCACTCTAGTGTTTGTTTACCATAGCGACACTCTGGCGCTAGATTCACTTAACAGTATTAATAATTATATAACAGTTAACTTATATATTTTGTTCATATTATAACTCATAATGCACAAAATTTATATCATTTAAAGAATAGAATTATCTAATCGTTGCCACATCTCTATTCAAATACAATAATAAAGCTAGAACTATGTATAAAAGAAATTAAGCAAACAAAACAGAAAAGAAACAGTTTTTCACAGACGATTGAGTATTTCTCATTCAATTAATTCAGTTCTCACTTCGCGAGAAGGCAAATATACATAAAAACTCAAAATATCTATATTAAAAATTACGAAGTAAATCTTAAACAATTATTTTGTCGAAAAAATTCCAAAAAGGATTAAGCATGATTTAACTGGCAATAATAAATGAAGGCGTTATCTTTGTTGTTGCGAAGCTAAGTTTCTCTAGATTGGCAACAAATCCACTAGTCTGCTGTTTCAAATGTAAACAATCAATGGCCGCCGTGTTATTTAATAAATTAATGGCTTAGCGGCACTTAAAGAACTTTAAAATTGTTGATAATTCTAAAAATATTGCGCACAGATTTACTAAAGGCATAAAAACCTTAACCGGAAGATAAAACAACATAATTCAATCATTTTTTAAAGCAAAAAATATGCAATTTACAAACATATAAGAGTAAAGAAACTGAGATCACTGAGCGGGATAACAGAGTGAATATATATATAAATATATTTATATACGTTTGGTGCGGCCGATTGCAACCCAAACACGAGGTGCACATCTACATATTATAGCAGTCCTATATACAAAATTTCAAGTTTCTGAGGCTACTCGTTTTTGAGTTATGCGAGATACGTACGTACGTACGTACAGACGCCACGAAAAATTCTCTTCAGAATTAATTTTAAAGCAGTTTATAATTTTTTTGGAGGAATCGAGTCTTTTATTCTGTCCTTACGTACATATATCTCTCAAAAACATCGTTAAAATGCATTCGATAGCGGTCAAAATGGATATTTTCGTTGAAATATATTGCCTGAAACTTTTCGCGATTACATTACTTCCTTTTTACTTCGTACAAGGAAGTAAAAGGCCTCTTTGGAGTAACATAAAATCTGAAAATTTCAAAATTCCAGTCTTTTGTATTAGTCATTTATGAATTTATTTATTTTAATTTACAAGGAAAGCTCCATGACGTTCCTCGGTGCTTTCGCTGTGGCAATCGCAATAGAAGATTGCATGCTGCATGAAAGAATAGCCCTCAAAGTATTACTGACCATTGGAACAGAAATAAAATGGTAAGTTTTGTATTTTTGTTAATTATCGCTTTCAGGAGTCATTTTAGAATAGTCGTAGACATAATCCACTAGACTCTGCTCCTAAAAAAGAAAACCAAAAATGCGCTTGCTCTGATTATTACTGGAACTCATAGCTTTGCAGTTTGAAAATGATTCCGACACTGTACAGAGATTATGAATTACTGTAATAAATTATAAATAGGGATTTGTTCGAAGCAACGTAGCCGAGAATCTGTATGCTAATTTGCAGGATCACCAAATGCATAGAATAGTTATTGGCAAACAACTAAAGGAATTGTTGTTTAAAACGCTAGTCATATAACGAATATTTATTAATTCAATTATTCAATCATTTTTAATTGTTAAAAATGAAGGAATTATGTTGTTCTTATCTTCCGGTTAACGTTTTTATGCCTTTAGGAAATTTGCAAGCAATATTTGTAGAATTATTAACAATTTAAAAGCTGTTTAAGTGCTGTTAAGCCTAATTTTTAAATAACAGGGCGGACATATTTGTTACATTTGAAACAGCAGAATAGTAGATTTGTTGCCAATCTAGAGAGACTAAGCTTCGCAGAAACAAAGATAACGCCTTCCTTTATTTTTGCGAATGAAATCATGCTTAATCCTTTCTGGAATTTTTCGAGAAAATAAGTGTTTAAGATTTACTTCCGAATTTTTAATATAGATATTTTGAGTTTTTATGTATTTTGCCTTGTCGCGAAATGAGAACTGAATTCATTGAATGAGAGATACTGAATCGTCTGTGGAAAACTTCTTATTTTTTGTTTTGCTTGCTTAATTTCTTTTACACATCGTTCTAGATTTATTATAGTATTTGAACTTTTATTTTGTGCATTCTGAGTTATAATATGAACGAAATATAAAGCTGGTCTAGATGGTGGGATAAATCATCAAAATGGCACTTCTTAAACTATGATTTTAGGGAATAGGCATTAACCTCTTCGTCGTCCTTAACGCGTCTAGCGCGTTCAAGTGAAACTTCTGCAGCGGCCGTAACGCGCTTCAATCGTTCTTCTACATTTTAAAACTTTTAAATGCTTTCTAAATGTTTACTTGCTTGAGTTTTTATTTTTGTTTGTTCAAATACCTCCCAGAGGGCAGTACTAATCAGGTATTCTATTTCTAATTGAATTCTCCCTCCGGGTTTTATGTATATTCGTGCCATTTTACATAAGATACGAGACAGAGAGAGATTTTCAAAGTCAGAAAAAGAGGGAAAATTGAGGCTATGAATAGGGAAAAAAAGAAGGATATACGTTTGATGAGTACACTCCATAATAACTCTATGATTGATGTCGAAACACGGAAAAGAACTGTAAAAAAAAAACGATAACTGTAAAAGATTACAACAACAAAATGGGAGGAGTGGACCGCCTGGATCAGATGTTATCAAATTAATCCTGCTGTTAGAAATAAGCAGAGATATTATTACTTTTCCATTATGCTTTATTTCGTTATAATTTCAGTTAATATTCATTTACATTCATCCACTACGGAAGTTATGTATGGAAAGTTATGTATGTACAAAAAAAAAAAAAAAAAAAAAAAACAACATTACACGCTGCGAAAAACAGAGGGCCGCTGGGGAGAAATTTCGGTGGACAGGAGAGGACGGCGAAAGGGTTAAGGTAAGAATCTAAATCGGGCGAATAAGCAGGATTGTTAGTTGATAGTGTTGCGTTTTTCTTTTCTTACACAAGTTGTTACGTTATTTTCTTCCTTCACGTTCGTACGAGGTTCGTGTGGATTTGGAGTGAATAACGACGACACTTGATGAAGTATAGAAACACACTTTATTGGCCAGTATTGTCAGGACAGTCAACAAGTCACGTTTTACACTCGTCGATGATCTACTATACACACGCTGGAACAATCGGCGACACAGCCTTCACGCTGTCAGGCAATAACGGTGGAGATAGCTTCACTGAAAAGCACCAGAGTACAGCTCCCGACTCTGTTTGGTCGTTCTCGGAACTTCACGTACTCTCAAGACTCTCCACGCGATGCACTCGACGACACGCAGAGCACGGCTCCCGACTCTTCGGTTCAGTCCTTCCCGGAGCTCAACACGCTCTCTCGACGATGCACCAACCGCGATACACTAAGAGACTCCTTCGGTGAACTCGACGACCCACTCGGCACTCGTTGCCCGGCTGTCAACTCGATCGACTCCGCAGGGATTGATTCGCTAGACGAGACACCAACTCGATACTAACTATCTCGCCCTCTATGCGAGGCACACACTCTCTTTTCCAAGTTCCAAGTACCGCTGGATGCACCGCTGATTAACTTGCAGGATTTGCAAGTTTTGTTCCGGCTCTCTGAGTTAGTTGCTATAGAGCGCTGAAAGTAGGAGAATGCATGAGTGAGACCTAAGCCAGGATTGCAGATGTTGAGAGGGCGTGACTACCTTGTCAGAGGTGTGAAGAAGTCGCTAATACGTTGCGAGATATCAGGTTAGAAATGCTGAAGAAAACATTAAATGTACAAATTTGCAGAAATAATTACATAAAAGGGAAATTTTTCTAGTAATCATCAGAGTAACAACATATGGAATAAACCAAATTTCATCACATAATACAGTCTAGCAGTCCTGTAAGTTGAAATTCTGAGTCCATGATAACGTGATGGGGGTGTGTAAACAGAATCATGGTTTCATTATAACAGTCGAAGATGCTTCAGGAAAGCAATAATTTTAGTAAGAGTTACAAAATAACAGAATAAATGCAGAACAAATGTTAACACAAAATACATATATACAAATTCAAAATGTCTATCCCAGAGTATACTTAGAATAAGTCACATATAACGTGAGCGGAATCAGGCATTCTGATTCGCTTAGCGTAAACTTGTCCAAAACTGATGAAACACACACTGTCTGCGGTCCAGCAGGGTTTATATAGCTTTCGGCTTGCGTTCGAGAACATTCTGGGCTAAACCGGTAAGAATTCGTTCCAGAAGGTTCTCCATCCTTCCATGGCATATCGCCAATTCTGTAGCCAAATGGCGATTTCTCGCCAAATATGGCAACCTTGCTTTCTATCGTCATTTTATGGCAACCCTAAAACTGCTTTACGGGGAAGCCATCTTACCACGCCTGTACATTTCGTAACAATAGATTAAGGCAAGCAAAGAACTTGGCAGCTATCAGCCTCAGGGAGGCTGAGACCTTCAAGGATTTAAGGATGAATTTAAGGATGAATTTTTCCAAAGGAAAAATTTTCTTCATGAAGGATTAAAGGCTCTTAAGTAAGTTACACATGGCGAAATCAATATAATCCCGTGCAGCTAGCTGTTCGTTTTGATTTTAAGTACAGAATGATCAAATCAAAATCGTCAGACTGCCAGAACTCTCGAACGATTATAGTTTTGTTGCAAAGTGAAATGTGATAAAAAAGAAGAGCAGGCATGCTCTTAATATTGTGGTCTGATGCAATTTTTCTTTCAGTTGCAGCAATAATACCATTTGATAAAATAATGCACTGCTCATCTATTTTGATTAGCAACACAGAACTGGAGGCTTGTTAGCAAGTGCTTATGGAGAGGGTCTCTTTCATTTCCTTCATTTTAAAATTGATACATAGAACTTTATCTTTTATTTAAAACAACCGTTCTCAAATTGGCACACAGTGTACAATTTCGAAAGGGCATCTTCCGGTTCGATGTGTTCATTTTAAGAGAATTTGAAATGTATTCTTAAATTAACAGGTGGTAAATATCCCTAGAAGGGTAATAGTGGAAGGTTAAACCTCCACGAAGTGCCCAAAGGAGGAGTGGACGTGTAATGTACTTAACTGTTCACGGGGCAGTGCAGCCAAGAGTTATCTTAAATTACCAAAAATTATAAGGTATTTCTCCCGACTCTTTCGCATGCCTTCGTGTGGTGATCTGCACGCTGGGCGCGTATTCCAAAGGTCCGCGGTTCGATTCCCGGCGAAGGCGTTGCACATTTTTCAATCTCTTTTGCTTCCAAAAAATCCTAATGTCTCTACAAAATCCCAAGATAAATGTAAAACACTTTTAGGAATGTCACTCCCTGGGTAACGGAAAAATATGACAAAAATAATTAGTTATTGAATAATGAAAAACATCCGTGACAGTTGTTTACTGAATGGCAAAAGTTTTAAAGAAATCTATGCACTTATCCTATCTTATATACTATTTCTTGATACATTTGGAAACATGTAAAAGAAAAAAAAATTAAATTTCACAGAAATAATTTAGATAACAGTTCAGTTCGATGCAAAATTACAATCACATTTTCAGTACTTCAGGATATTACTCAGGTTAACAATTACCTGAGTTGACTTCCGCACAATCACTTTTTTGTCTTGGCACATCATTATGCTTTGATTTGAAAGCACTGAGATTATTCGTATGTAAAGTAATTACATCATCTAATGTAATGCCGCTTAGGATACTTTACTAATAAAAATTATAAAATCTACAAACACAAATCTATGGTCCGTTTAAATGAAAGCGCAAAAAATTGAAAGAATTCCACAAAGGTCTGTAGGAATCGAACTGAAATTTCAAAACCCATTGATAACATACATGTTTCAAAAATAATTTTGTCGCCAGTGAGGAACTAACAAAATTACAGTACATTGGGAATTCTGTAGTAACAGGAAACCTTAGAATGGAAAGGAAACTTCAATTCATTGTTGTTTAGGTTGATAAAGGATTCGTTGATGACTGTCCGCTGAGTGGAATAGGTCATAGTCTAATGATTCGATATTTGGTGATATAACAAAGTTTTCCCAACTAGGAAAAAAAAATTTTAATAGTGTTACAAGACAAGCTACATATGATTTTGCATGATTATGGAAGAATCTACCTTGCCAAAAGTGTAGTTAGCTTAGTTTTTAGTTTTCTGGGTAAATAGTCGCATTGCTCTGAGTAAGGTAATGGTCAGGTTGTTTGACAACCTCGTAGTCCCTGCGATGGAAGATGCGTTTCATAGTCCATCGAAGAAAAAATATCTTTTTAGACTAAATGTCTTGCCATTGCTATGAAAGTAATTATGGTTGCTTTTGTTTCGGAACAAATTCGTGAAGTGTTAGCTAATGATGATGGTGTCTGGATGTGCAATGCAGGCGCATTTTTCAACATATAGGATTTGTCCGAAAAGTAGTAGAACATATTTTTTAAAATATTTAATATATGACACATCGACTTGATAGTTTTTAAAATATGCCCCTTCTGCACCAAAGCAGTGTTTCCAGCTACTCTGCCAATCACAGAAGGGTCCCTGGAACGCAAAATCTGGAACGCATTTCAGTTCCCTCGTTACAGCCCCTTGAATGGCCATGAGCGAGCCGTGGCGCCATCCTTTTATGACCATTTTCAATCGGAGGAACACGAAGAAGTCTAAAGGAGCAACATCTGAGCTGTACGGTGGCTGGGGAAATTGTGTGACGTCATGTTTGGTCAGGAAGTCCATGACAGTAAAGACGGTGTGGCTCGGTGAATTGTCGTGATGGAGCCTTGAAAGACTCGCTTTCTGAAGTCTGAGGTAGTTACAGTTAAAAAGATTTCTCTAAGCTTCCGTCACTTTTTGCCGTTGAAGGGCGTCCTGACCGTTGCTCATCTTCACCTTGATCTCTTCCCTCTCAAAACAATTTGTGCCACTCAAAAGCACTTGATATGTCCATGGGGTCACTTCCATAAGCAGTCTTGATCATGTCATGGGTCTCACTCGCAGTTTTACCCAGTTTGACGCGAAACTTCACCTCTTAACGCTGCTCTCTTCACCTTGCTCTCTTCCCTCTCAAAACAATTTATGCCACTCAAAAGCACTTGATATATCCATGGGATCACTTCCATAATCAGTCTTGATCATGTTATGGGTCTCACTCGAAGTTTTACCCAGTTTGACGCGAAACTTCACCTCTTAACGCTGCTCTAACAAACTATTCATTGTGGAGATGCCAAGGCACCTTGAAAAGAGTTCACCTTAGACTCGATCTACACTCCGCAAAGGCTTCTAGAGGACAGGCGATTGGTGCACTGGTAGCTAAGATCCCCCACAACACACCCAGCGCAGTAATATCCCACTCCATCACTACGGTTTGGCGGGGAAAAATCAGTAATGCTACTTCCCGACCAGATCCTGTACCGTGACGAAAACATCTATTTTTGCTAAGCAACAACAATAAAGTAGCATCAGTTAGTGATATCCTAACACCAAAATTTTCTCATCAGAGTACTTGTGTTATATAAACCCTGCGTGGTAAAGATCTAGGCCGCACTTAGTCATGGCAGGGCAAGCGTGTGTATGTTTACAACCTTGGCATATAAATATGAGAGAGGGAAAGAAAGGGGGAGGATACAAAACAGGATATTTCTGTGCTGAGAGGGGAAAACATACAACACAACAAGATCAAAGTACGACTGCAGCAGTTAAAGAACCTAATGGTATATTATCCGGCGTACGCAGAAAAAAGTTCTTGCCGTCTAGGAGACGTCAAAGTCTACAATGACACATGAAATGAATGACATCTCCTAGACGTCATTGCATGGCAAGGCGTCAATGCTGTCCCAAATCTACTACGAAATTATGTTAACAATGCTTCAACAAAGAATGATGAACGTCTAATGGTCTCAGTTTTCCAATCATATTGAGAAACGAAATAAAAATAATTTACTTTTATATCACTTAGGGTTCTTATAACCAGTAATTCTCTTTTTCAGTACCTCTTTACGAATCTGCAGCATCATACGGCTTTTATCTTTTAATATTAATAATGCTATTTTTTTACTCTAGGCTTATGCTAGGTTTCATGTTGACCACCATGCTCTTATCCATGTGGATAAATAATATGGCGACGGCAGCCATGATGGTACCTGTTATCGATGCTGTCCTAAGAAGGATATCGAATGTTAGAAACATCGGTGACAACCCTGTAGAAGAAAGCGATGGTAAACTTCTGTTACTTATTCTGGATATTACTTCAATTACATTCTATAATTAATATTTCACATTGATATTCCTGTAGTAATAAGACAGCAAATGTAACACTTACATGAAAATAACATCATCTAACCGCAGTGAAATTTAACAGTGAAAATTTAATGGTAAACTCTTTATGTCACTATTACTATGCAATCACGGGTTTCCTAGACGCACGAGTCTCATGACAGAACACTTCTTAGTAAAACGAAATAGTGTTGAGAAATACTCAGTAGCGGTAAGATAGCTTCCCAGCAAAGCGAATTTAGGGTTGCCAGAAAGTGGCAATGAAAGGCAGGGATGCGAGATTTGGAGCGAATTCGTCCATTTGGCGATATTTGGTAACAAAATTGGTGATATTCTATAGACGGAGCGAGAACATTCTAGAACGAATTTGGTGCTACTTTGGTAGACGGTTGCACGGATTTTGGCGATTTTCTGGCGATTTTTTTTGAACGAGCGATACAACTTATGGTAAACCCACTGCTGGACAAGTTTTTATGGTAACCGATACTTTGTTGTCATTTTATTTAAAAAATAATGCGTTTTATTATGCATAAATTCCGTGTTTTAAATATTACTTATGACTTCTAAATAATAAAAATGAATTTAATTTTGCATTTTTATTTGAAATAAAAATTTTATTGTTTATGATTTAATGTTTTAAACGTTATTTATGCTGTTTAAAATATAAATACAATTAATTACATTTTTTTAAATATGATTTTATTATGAATGATTATTTAAATAATTTTAATTCGATGCGTGATGTAATCAGCTCCCTGATTGGTTACTGAATATTTGTGCATTACCGCGCCATTTTAAAATTTTATTATTCATCTCTTAAAATTCCTCAAATTTCAAAGCGAATGGATGTGTCCGTTTCGAAGATGAATGTTGTTATTGGTAATTACCAAGAATTATTGGTATCGTAATAAAAAAAAAATAACCCTTTGAGACCTTATTTTGGCCAACCTGGCTTTCCTAATCAAAGATTTATTTATTGTTACAAGAGTCAGAGGAAATTTACTTTAAATTTTTGGAGGAAACCTCGCTAATTGCTTCTTCAATGAAGTGCGAGAGATGTGAATCACAAATGAAGATCGTGTGTTTTTTTTTCTGGTACTTATCAATATACGACAGGTAAAATACTTTAAAAAATGTAAGTACATATTTTTCTTTACTTATAATTGGTATACTTCAATTGTTATTAAAAAATTTTATTTTTTAAAAAATTAATACACTGTTTTAAAAAATTCCTGAGATATTTATTGCCCATATATTTTAATGTTAATAAGTATATCCTATAAAACTAATTTTAAAGGATTTGAATTTAAGTAATTGTAAAATTTTAATTCTTTTAAACGTTGGTATGATGTTTTTAATTCGATATTCAATTTAAGTAATATTTTAATCCAATTAAATGTTGGAGCAATATTGTTATAGCGGTGTTTTTATTCTATTATATGAAAGTAATAATTTAACCTTACGTTAGCATTTTATACTCTTAGTAAATGTATTTATTTACATTTGCCAGTCATCTTAAAAAACAACGTTTTCAATAAAAAATTAATTCATTATTTTTATTTTTAACGATATTTATTTTTTTAAAGTTTGGAATAATTTACTCTGCGTGAAATACGTAAAAACAGCATTTTTCAAGATGGCTGACGACTATAAAAACCGCGCCAACAATTGCGCCAACGTAAATCGCCAAAAATCCGTGCAACCGTCTACCAAAGTAGTACCCTATTAATGTGCAATCATGGGTTTCCCAGACACACGAGTCTCATGACAGAACATTTCTCGGTAAAACGAAGTAGTGTTGAGAAATGCTCAGTTGCGGAAAGATAACTTCCCAGGAAAGCGAATTTAGGGTTGCCAGAAAGTGGCAAGAAAAGGCAGGGATGCGAAATTTGGAGCAAATTCGTCGATTTGGTGATATTTGGTAACAAAATTGGTGATATGCTATAGACAGAGTGAGAACATTCTAGAACGAAATTTTACCGGTTTTCCCAAGAATGTTCCCGAAGTCAGGTAAAAAGCTATAGATACCCTGCCTGGAGTAGAGTAGAATATTGAGTTCAGTAGTAGTGTCTTGAGTTCAAAGACTAGCTCACGAGCGATCGACTCAGTTGAAAACTATAGTTCTTTGCCGTGAAGCTGCCTTTACCGTTATAGTCTGAAGACTGTGTTGCTGATTGTTTCAGCGTGCTTGTCGTAGTTCTTCGACTACTGTAACATCTCTTTAGAAATGTCCTGTTTGATACTGGCGAATAAATTGTATTTTCATTCTTCTTTAAGTGTTGTCATCAATCACTCCATATCCACGAAACCGTAGAAACTCAACAATATTTACTGTGGTATAATGCACAGTTAAAAGAATATCATTTTTAGCAAGTCCGTACTGTGCTGAATGCACAGGAGTCATCCTTTACGTAGTGCGTGAATTCCGAAAATTAAAACTGCAATTTCTATCATATATATATAAGCGGCTTAAGTGTATGTCGCCGATAGTTTATTGGTTGCTTGAGTAACTGAAAATTGTTTTATTCTCCGTGCAGTGCAGTGTGTGACGAATATTATAAGCCGGAAAAATTAAACGTACAAGAGCACGTGCATTTTACATTTAATAAATAAATTTAACATCTATATATAATAGAAATCGGAAATATGCAACCCACGAAAACAGGCAACGATTAAAAAACAAATAAAATGAAATCAATAAATATCTTTATTCTATGCGGCTTAAGTGTCTGTTTGTCGCCGATAGTTTATTGGTTGCTTGCGTAACTGTACTGGCCAATGGGGTGAAGTTGCCACGGAACAGGGTTGCCGTTTCAACTGAGACGTAGACTATTTTCTGTAAAACTTGCCTTTGCTATGACCATCAATAAGTCTCAGGGCCAAACGATTAAGCGTGTTGGCATTTTTTTACCTGAGCCTGCATTTGGACACGATCAACTTTATGCTGCCTGTTCAAGAGTTCGGGAAAGAATGGACGTAAAATTAAAAATAATGGATGGTCCTCTGCAAGGCGAGCTTAAAAATGATGCAAAGATCTACACAAGAAATGTTGTGTACAAAGAGATCTTTGACATGTGAATTAACATTTTATTATTTATACCACCTTTATTTATTGAGCTAGAGGTTTGGCTGTTAAGAAATGTACCGCCAGTGGTTTCCTTCTTTGCACTCTACTTTAAGCAAATAAGCAAGTAGAAAGGGGAAACCCCGCGGGGTAGTAAGCAAAGGGGCGTCCTCGCCGCCTGCCCTGGGTAATTCAGTTTAAATTAGCAGACACCTTTGCACAAATCATTTTAATTACAATTTATAATATCTAGAACAGTGGTCATTTCGTATGACCGCCGGGCTTTCTAGTTACTGTATATCCACAGAGGCGCCTCATTTTTCCTTCGCTATCTTTACTGAACTAAAGTGAAACTGGAATCCCAAACGCTTCTGACTACAAAAAAAAAAAAAAAAACTGAAATGTTTCAGATTTAAATTACGTCCAAAAGGGGCTTTTTTTAACATTTTGTGTGTTACCCTTTCTTTATTAAATATCATGTTCCTCGCACTTAAACCATAAGATCCAGTGTGCAACAGCAATATCGCAAAATAGTTTTAAAAAGAGCATATCTTTAGAATTTCCGATACAGAGACTCACGCGCTGGAGATAAAAATGTTTTTTTCTGCACAACGTTGCCATGTGCTCGCTTTGAAATCCTTGAGTTTGTTAATCAAAAATTCGTCAAAGTTTTAAAAAAAAAATAGGAAATCGATCATAAAACAAATTTCAAATTTCAAATTTGGTCTTCCACATGCTCATATTCGTTGGAGGATTACGTTATTCAAAATTCGATGACTCTATGTACCGTTGTTTTATCACAATACGAGAAATATACATACATTTATGCAGATTTTTCATTATTTAATTTCTTCAAATATAATGCAGGACTCTAAAAAAAAATCGATTTATGATGTCATTATCTGAACAATAAACGCCTGGGATGACGAACGGTGTTTCTAATTACAGACACTCGGGTAGTCAACGAATGATTTTGAAAGGTCGTTTTGGAATAATGTTTGCAACATAATTAACATTAAGAAAATGTTTCAAAACATCGCTATAACATTTTCTGTTACTTTAAAATTTGAGTGAAATAGAAGCCCAGCCAGTCTCATGCAGAGTCCATTGGAACTAAGAGGCAAAGAAAAGATAAGAGGAAATGCACTAGGAAAGCAGTTAACTAATGTTTTTATGGTTGGACTCTTCATCTAAACAGTAACATCTGTTCCCTTTTGTCTTTCTCACAACTACCACATTTACCATACATTCCTCTTCGTACAGGTGTAACAAAATAAAATTAAAATTTTAGTCTGTTTTATCTGTTTAAAACTGTGCCTACTTTTTTACTTCCTGTGCGAAGTAGAGGAAGTATTGTAATCTCGAAAAATTCCAGGTACCATATTTCAACGAAAATATCCATTTTGACCACCATCGAATGCAATTTAACAATGTTTTTGCTTGACATCTGTACGTAAGGACAGAATAAAGGACTCTTTTTCTCAAAACGAATTATCTGATTTAAAATGGATTCAGAAGAAATTGTTTCGTGGCGTTTGTACGTACGTATGTGTGTATCTCGCATATCTCAAAAACGAGTAGCCTCAGAACGTTGAAATTTTGTATATAGGACTGTGTAAGGATTATGTTAATTTTATGAACAGTCAAATTTTGAGTTAAACTGCTTTCCTGTCAAATTCTTAACTTCAATTTACTACTTCCGGCCAGAATGTAGTTTTAGAATCACGTCTGAATACATAACGAGGAGGAGCGGTATTTAAACCGCGAAGTTGTTCGGTCGTAACGAGAGAGTTATCAGGTATTCTGTCTGCACGCGTCCGCCTTTTTAGGCTACTCCTAAGCTATTATTACGCTCAGCCGTACTTAGGCCCTTGATAG